CTTGTGTGCCTGGATGGGTTTTAAATGGGGGTAGTATGGAGACAGTAAAGTGGGTTAGAAGAGGTGGGAGAGACATTTGGCAATAGTCAGCAGGGCCGGACTCGAATGTGGGACAGCGGGTACATATGACTCACCCCCCGGTCCCGCGTTTTTAAATGGGGATAATTACGGGTAATGGTCAGGTCTCGGTTCTGAACTTAACAAGTGCGGACCGATACAGTTCTGAAAAATCAGACCTTTGCAGGACTCTAGACAGAACTACTAGTTACTGCACCTGCAGCTGGCATGTCGCTACCCAGAGGAGAGTGGTTTAATTTTTTGTCATTTTATCAAAAGAAAGAACAGTCAGAGAATAAGCTGAAAGAACATCTGGAACAGAAAATGGATAGAGAGCTCAGCAGCGTGTTGCTGCTTGAAACTCCTCTAACAGACTTGCAATCATTTCACTCCCATGCAGCTCCTTGGTTTGTTATTACACTAAATATGGAATACTTGGGTCTGTGAATTTGTATGAGAGAGACGGAGAATGTGATGAAAGCCTGACTGATGGGGTCCGGATTGTAGGCTACACATGAGCATGTGTATTAAAAGGAGATTTAGCAGATTGTTTTGGTGTTGGTTGATGTTTAACCAATATTAAGCATTTAACATCATATACAGTATTGCACCTCTCGCCTCAACGAAAGGAGTTTTATTTTTATTATCATTGTTTCATTTTATTTTTACTTCTGTAAAAGTCCAACTACATCATGTAAAGCTCTTGCACTTTATTTCCCACTCCTTGGCTTTTACTGGTCCTTTAAATCTGCTGCTCTGCTCTTAGTCAGCACAACCTTAATCTCCAAACCTGTAAAATTCTTTTCTTGTTTCTAAAGCCTTTTTTTGTGAATGAGGTCCTGACAAGTGTGAGAAGCCATACCTGATATGGCAATATTGGGTCAGTAATTATGCAAATTTACTTTTCACAGGAAAGCGCTCACTTACACACAGGTGGTCTACATTATATTTACAAGGATCATTTAGGACAGGGGTCGGCAACCTGCGGCTCCAGAGCCGCATGCGACATTTTAGCTCCCCCCTTGCAGCTCCCTGGAGCTTTTTTAAAAATGTGTCAGGATTCCTGTCTGTGTATGTTTTTTTTTCTGCGTTTGTCTCCCTTCCTCCACCAGGAGGCGCCTGGTTCTGGTCCACCTCTCTACACACCTGCTGTGAGTTACCTCATTAACGGAGCGCTCTTAAGCTGCTGACTGCCACTACCTCGAGCTAGAGTGCCAGTTTTGGGTACTCTAGCCAAGCTGAGTTTTGCTGAGTCAAACTGAGTTCTTGTCAACCTGAGTTTTAATCTTGTTCTTGTCTTTGCCTCTCGGCAGGAGGTCATCTTGCAAACTGGATGTTTCGGACCTTCTCTCCCTGGAAGGATCATCTAAGCTTCAAACTGAGTTAAGGATTCAAACTGGAGGTTTGAATCCACTTTCCCTTCAGAGATCATTTGAGCTTCACCCTGAGAAAGGGATTCATCTCCACTACGACCCATTCAAGTACCACAGGAAATCTGAGCGGCAGTCAGCTTCTCCGTTCACCTACTAACAACCGCATTCTGGGTAAACTCTGTCCGCCCTCCACCGAATCAGACAAACACTAAAACTCCCGTACACAGACTGGAATCTAAGAGTCTGCAACTTCTCTGGAAATGTGAGTTATCTCCCAAATTCTCCTCTTCAAGTTCCAGAATCAAAATTCCTACTGAGCCTGAACTAACCGCAGTGTCTTCCCCTCACCTTTCAGTTCCGGTTGAGCAGTGTTCAGAGCAATCCTGGATTTAACACAAACTCCTGAATAAACCTGTTAAACCTTTCCCCTGATCTCTCTGGATTGGTCTCTCTGCATGTGGGTCCGACCTCTTGATAAAATCATGACAAAATGTATGAAAACTGAAAAGGATGGATTTTTTTTGTTTTAGTATGGTGTGCAGGAGGTCAAACAAACATTAATTATGTTTTCCAATGCCGTATAAAATTTGTAGAATAAATACATTTAAACAATAAATGTAAACATTTCTGTCAAGGAAAATTTGCATCATAGCCTGCAGCACACATTTCAGCATGGCAAGGTGCCAAGAAGGTGGCTGTTGTAAAGAAAGCTGCGAGTCAGTCTTGGGTCATGCATCCCAAAGGGCAAAAAATTTAGCTGAGGATTCAAAGAAGAATGGACCAAATCATTTGCTTTCATTACTAATGCAGGAGAATTGCCTGCATGTGTGCTCTGTAATGAGAAGTTGCAATAAAATAAAAAGAGTAGTTTGGAAAAGCATTTACAGGTAAGGCATGCTAAATTTGCAACCAATCACAAAGTTGGCAGTGAGAGAAAAAGTGTGATTGCATCACTTCTGGATAATTTACAGGAGAGCAAAGATAGATTTAAGAATTTAATTTCATCTGCAAAACTCCACTTGGTGAGCGCTGCAGTTGCATCTAACCAACCAATAGGCTGCCATTGTAGCTTGAAGACCCCGCCCCTCATTATCAGATTAAAGCAGAAGCGAAGAGGGGAAAATAGAATGTGATAAATTAAAAAATAAGGCAATACTTAATGAATAAGGGAAATTGGAAAATGGGAAAATTAAAATTTTTTCAAATAAATGGTAAATGAAAAATAGATCAAAGAAAAATTGGTAAATAAAAAAGGGATATATGAGAAATTGATTAATGAAACCGGGAAATAGGAAATCGGGTTAATGGAAAAAGGAAAATGAACAGTGGTTAAATTAAAAGATAGATTAATGAAAAATGGGTAAATAGATAAAGAGATTAATGAAGAATGGGTAAATGAAAAATAGATAAAAGAAAATGGGTAAGTAAAAAAAGGGATATATGAGAAATTGATTAATGAAACTGGGAAATAGAAAATCAGGTTAATGGAAAAAGGAAATTGAAAAGTGGTTAAATGAAAATTAGATTAATGAAAAATGGGTAAATGGATAAAGGGATAAATGACAAATAGATAAATGAAAAAGAGAAATTGGGAAATTGATAATATGAAAAATAAATAAATTAAAAATTGGTTTAATGAAAAAGCTAAATTATTTATTTAACACATTTTGTATTTATTTCACTCATTTTCTTCATTTTTTGATTTATTTTACTCATTTTTTATTTATTTCACCCATTTATTTATTTATTTAATTTTGGCTGAAATGGCTCTCCATACTCTCAGGCTCTGAAAAAAAGTATCCAGTTTTCAAGGCAGAGAGACGGTTTCAAAAGATATCTAATATAGACGCAAGTGTAGAGGACAACACTGGCATCTAAGGAACCTCTGCAGGAGGAAAACACAGGTTAGTGACCACGTCTATCTGGACGTGAATGTGTTAGTCACTAACCTGGTATTAAATTTCAGTCCATGGCCAGAGGGTAAGGTTGGTTGTAGCCGGTGGGCTTCCAACAAGAAGCAACCGGCAGCGCACAGAGAGCCCCAGGTGCTGAAGTCCCAGAGGTCAAAGAACAGGCAGGAGATCAGATTCGGGCAGGCAAAGAAAGGCAGGATAATCCAGAGGGCGAGGCCAAAGCCACTGTCAAGGCTATGTTGAGGATGCAGAACCAGGAGATCAGAGATAACAAGAGGTACCGAAGAGAAGTCCAGAATGGTGTCTGGAGTCAGTTCCAGGTTCACTACACAGGTAGAATCCAGCAGGACTCCGAGGACAGGTCAGGCAAACAGATCAGAAAGGGGGGCAGGCAGGCTCAGAGGTCCAGAGACAGAGCGGTTCAGGATCAGGCAATCAGAAACACCCCAGGTACGCTAGAGAACTCTCACCAAAGCTTTGAATAATCTGGCACTGATGACGGGTTGAAGGTTGGTTAAATGGAGGCTGGAGCAGGTGGATCAGATAAACGGTAATGAGAATTAGGCAGAGGTCAGCAGGTGAATGAAATGACTAATCATCATCATCAGTCATTAGCGCCATGATCATGACAACTGATGCTGCTAGTTCTGTTGCAATGCATGGAAAACTATTCACGTATCGAGCAGGTGGTGCTCTGATGGGTCTGAACTTAGTAACATCATGACAGATGCAGGGATTGGAACTTTTTTAAATTTTTTCCCTCCCAAATGTTGCCATACGATAAGACTTTCAAATTTCCAAGTTATAGACAGATTTGTTTTTGAACAGTTTGGGTTCCCGACCCTGGATTCAGGACCATTTACTAAAGTTAGGAACGTTTGTTGAATCTGACGTGACACATCTGCAGGAGAGAAATTTATGTCAAGAATATGAAAAAGTTCCAAATGATCCCAAATGCTTCAATCAGGCAACTAAGAAGAGGCTCTTAACAAAAACATCTCATGGTCCTATGGGGACCAAGTCAGTTTTCAGACCTGTACCAAGTAAGAGTATTATGGAGGGAGTTGAAAGTCTCTGTTGCAAAATGGTAGCCTCAAAAGATCACTGAAGAAAAATACTAGCTACAATAGGCTATGCACTATCCTGGTGAAGACTTATGGGAAACATTTGACTCTGTCATTGCCAATAAAGGTTAAGCTAGGAAGTATTGTGCAAACACATTTTTCAGAAATCCTAAACTGTAATTTTCCATTGTTTTTTTTGTTGTTTTTTTTATCTTTCATAGCTGATGTATACCTATGATAACTTGTAAAATTATTCCCCCATTCTGAATTGTACTTTCAATTTTTTTATTTTTTAAATGTCACAAAAAAATCATATCTTACTCACACAATATCAATGAACTGTACGCATGCAAATAGCATTTTTCAACCCTTTTAAATCCCTTTGAATCATTAAATCACAAACAATATTTATCTTACTTAATTTGCATATTTTTAAATAAATAAAAATAAATATTCTAACTAAAAAAAACTGCATTTAGGCTCCTACAAAAACTGTCATTAATACTTGGTTAAACCCCCTTCCCTAAAATGTATAGAAATAAGATATGTACAGGATTTTATTAGGTTTAGAGATACATTTTTGTATTACTCACTCTTGTTTTCTGATAGGGTCAGATCCATCTCTCCATCCAATTGCTGGCTATTAATAGCCTCTGTGTGTTCGCTGTTAAATTGATTTTGTCTCCACTTTAAAAGAAAAGAGGAAATGTTGAATGAAACATCAAAACCAACAAGCAGCATTTATTGCTTTTTTTTAAGGTGATTCACTGTTGACCTACTTTAGGCCTTGATTGTAACACAACTTCTGCAGCATTGCTTGAAGTTTCCTGTAAATCACTGTTTTGATACCTGTTAGAGGGAAAAGTGTTTATCTTTGTCATTATAGCATCTGCAAACTTACCTTTTCACAACCCTAACATTGAATTTGTTTTACTAACACTTGCTTCTAAAAACACATAACAAGAAATGTAGTGCTAAATGTAGCGTCGGAGGTGATCAAAATCAGAAAGCACAGGATTAAATGTGAGATTTATAATTCACTGCTGGTTTCAACATGCTTTTTGATGCTGTAATTATTAAAGAGAAGCACTTTGTGTGAATTATCGGTTATCAAAATGTAATATTTAAAGAAAAGGAAAAGTAAACTTTTCATTTGACGATTATGTTATTGTGAACAGTTTCAGGTTATAATGACTGAAGGAAGGGTCCAAAATTAATGCTCGACACTTGCCAAATGCGACTTAATTTTCATTTGGTGAGTTGAAGCCAGAGCAACTTTTGCCATAGGGCAAGTAAATATTTGAACCACAGTTTTTGCTTTATGGAAAGCCAAATGGTTCAATAACACATGGTTTCTGACAAGCAGAAAACACGTGAATAACCTTTGTTTGGCGTGCTGTTTGCGTATTGTTAACTAGTTGTCTTCGCCTTTCAATCTAAAAAGTAGTTGACAGGTTGAGAGCTCGTTAAGAAACGTTGATAACACAACAATTACGCGTTGACAACATGTCAAATACACGTCAACTACATGTTGATTTTATGTGATTATGAGCCATTCAACTCTTGCCTAATTTGAGCTGGTGGTCGTTGCTTATTTCCTGTTGACTGCTGAGTCGTAGGGTTAAACTACTTTTTGTAACTTGGGGGAGGTTTGCTCGAAGCAGCTGATCATTTCAACATGTAGTTGACCTGTATTTGGCATGTTATGGAAAGCCAAATAGTTCAAGAACACAAATGATTTCTGACATGTAGAGAACACGTAATTAACATGTTTTGCACGTGGTTTGCCCCTGTGTTACTGAGTCTGCCTTTGAAAACATGTTAAGAACACGTTGACCATGTCAAGTACACTTTGAACAACATGTAGAATACACATAACCTACATAGATGGCAGGAGCCATCAGGATGAACATATCTTTGCAGCAAAGGTTCCCTCGGGCACCGGCTACCACAGCGGGTCCAAACCTCCAGAGAAATGGTCCATTTCTTTCCATTGGGCGATGCTGATTTACGCCACAAAACCACTATCTTGGTTTCTATTTGCTTTTACTATGCCTAGTTTCAGCTTCACCTATAAAACTTGGTGCTGTCCCTCTTCAGGTTTTTCTTCAATATTTGCCCAGATCTCCCTTCTTTATTAAGTATTGAGTAGGGTTGTACCAATGCCATTTTTTGGCCGATACCATACATATACCATCTGTTTGAAATTGATGTGTGTGTGTGTATCTATAAAGAACTGATTACTGCTTGGATGTAAAACAGCTGCCATCGGGGCTTTGTCAAGCTGCTGCCTACCTTTGTGAAGCAGGAAAAAGGCTGTTAGAAAGGGAATTAAGTAAAACTTTTTATTGTCTACCTGGAATGGCTGACAATAGTTGAATAATGTTTTCGCTCTCAAAATTCTGTCGGTGCCCTATTTGTCGGTACTTGCCGATACCGATACCACCATTTAAGTGCAATATCGGGGCCCTGCCCGATACGGGTGTCAGTATTGGTATTTGTATTTGTATCGGTATAGTATTTAGTCTCCTCCGCCTCTAGATAAGCACATTCAGCAATCCTGGCAGTAAGCTTCCTCTTTTGCTCCCTTCCTTTGTGAAGGAAACCTGCCTTACCTCTGCAGGCATGGTCAATCCCCTTTTTGTCCTTGTGCTTGAAGGCCCTCATCAGCGCCCCATCAGCATCGCACTAAGAGCACATTACCAGCCCTTAGTGGATACATGTTTCCTGAGCTATCCTATCCTATCTATTAGCGCGCATTTCAATTCATAGCATCAGTCTACTACCAGTGTCCCAAAGACTTATTAATTCACATAAAATATTTTTAGGACGCTTCGCTGTGTTGGGGCTTGAAAAGTTCAGTCAAGGCAACTGGAGATGAAGTATTTGTAGAAGCCGTTTCTCCTCTCATTCAAGAGGCTTCTTTAGTTCCAACTAGTGGTGGGAAGCACTTAGATTAATATACTGTAGGTGTAACAAAGAATTAGGGGAACAAAAGGTGGCTCTGATCCCTCCTACTGGATTGGCCATGGAGGTCACCTAGAGGTTGTTAATGGTCGTTAGGGGGTTCTGATGGGTTGTTAAGTCCCTCGTCAGAGTGTTTTCACTAACATGCCTCATTGAAGTGTGTCTTCAGGGTATTGTTCCTAAAAGTGCTTTGGAAGTAGGTAAAAAGTTATGTCAAGGCCCCGTCCACACGAAGTCAAAACGAACACGAAACGCTAATATTTTCCAGAACGTTTGTCGTAAAGACGGAGACGTAAAATAAATGTGATCGTCCACGCAAATGCATGAAAACGCTGCAAAATGTATGCCAGGCCTGTAAGTGGCGCTGTGGTGCCAAAGCAAAAATAGGCGACGAAATGTTGGGCATGCGCACTAATATTTATACATGGTTGCCCTGTGGGTCCATTTTCGTGGTTAAGTCAAATTCAGGTGCTGAACTATGTCGTCGATATTGCTCTGTTCTTCCTGGAGATATTCCAGAAGAAGAAGATTCTGTTGTAAGCCCGACAGCAGGGTGAGTAGCATGAGCAGCAACCATTCAACACAGTATGGCACCATTGTTGTTGTGATACTGTGTCGCGCATGCGTGTTTAGAGGCGACGCTACGACGCATGCGTGTAAGAAAAAAAATGCGGTTAGAGCTTAAAGATGGAAACGCGAAAACGGCGTTTCAAAATCTTCCCACTCTAAAGGCTTAATAAAAAAAAAGATTGTTTACAGACCCCCGAAACGCCGGTTTCGTATGGATGAGAGGCTGGTTTGGTGAAAAATTTGTGCGTTTAGGCCAGGGTTTGACTTCGTGTGGACGGGGCCTAAAACCACCTCCTCTGTTGAGAGATGGTTTTTCCAGGTTAACAAATATGGCTTCCTTAATCCCTCGCTCAAAACATATTTCTACCTTGACCAGAATATGGACATCGTTGTCCTCAAACAAGTGTCTTTTAGGTGTCAGATGTAGGTGAACAGCTGAGTCCTGTCCTGAGGAGTTGAATGTCCTGTGTTGAGCCATGCGACTGTGTAGCAGTTGATTGGTCTCTCCAATGTACAGGTCTGTGCACTCTTCACTACACTGCATGGCCTAAAGCATGTTTTCGGCCCTGTTTCGGGGGTGTTTTATCTTTGTTCCAGGGTATTGCCGAGTTTAAAGTGCACAGGGATATGGTTTAAAATTCACGTCCAGTTGCCTAAACTGAAGTTTTTTTTTATCTTTTATCTTTTTTTTTTATCTCATCAGTGTTAATAGTCTTCCCTTTCCCAATTTGCCTCTCATCTTACTACATTAAAACTCCTTTGAACAGTCTGGTCCTTGATAATTTCTTCTTTCCTCCCCCTCAACCCATCAGCCTGCTTGGAGGTTTTACATTTATGCAGCTAGTATAGGTTTAACAGGAGATTCTTCATGTTTAAAAGGAACCTAAGATTTTTCACCCATCAGTGGAAAACAACAGCATGTGAGAGTTATTAGAGGATTACAAAGAAATATGGGGGTCTTATGCCCTTCACTAACTGAACTTATCCCTCAGCAATTAAGATCACTCAAAAAAAGGTCATGCTGTGTTTATGTGGCAAGCAATGGTGTTTATAGTCTGATAAGTATGACTTCAGAAAAACATGCCATTTATCTTCTTTTCAAAAATGGGTTTGTTTTGTTTTAAATACCTTTCACCAGCTTTGGTCTTAGTTCCATTATAATAAATTGAAATCAATAAATCTAAATACTTTTTGATGCAGAAATAAATGCACAGATATCCTTCTGGGTCACTAAGTAATAATTTTTTTCTAATGCTGAAAAGATTGTGTTTCTTTTACCCTTTGTTGAAGAAAAGTTTCCCATAATAAAAATGAAAGTGTATTGATAAAGTGTATTGATAGTTGAGCTGGACTAACCTTTGCTCAGGGCAATCTTTATTTTCATAATTCTCTGAAACTATTATTATTGAATATTTTTACAAATTTTTTTTTTTACCACTTTCTTCTTTATCCTTACATTTTGTGAGAACGATGTTACATATAAATACCAACATCAAATAATTTATTGTACAGTAGAGGTATTCCAGCAGTCAGAGAAAGACAAGCGGCCTGGATACAAAACTATACCATTATAGAGCCCATACAGAAACACAAGAGACAAACAACAATGCAAGTTCTTCACTGTAGCTAACATAATGACTGATCTATAAAACATTTACAAACATTTGATGAAAGCATTCACTTACCCTGCAATGTTGGGTTCTTCCCTGAGTCTACAGGGTGAGGATGGTTCAGAAGCTCCCTTCCTTTCATTGGTTCCAAAAGTGGACTTTTTAGTCAGTGTGTGAGAGGCTTCCACTATAGAGGCACAGTTTGTGTTTAAAAGAAAATTGTCAATCATGACACCAAGGAGTGGAATTTTTACACTCATAAAAGCATATTGATGACAATATACAAAAATGTTCCCATCCAATAATAAATGAGCTTAACAATTTATTTAACGTTATGTGTTGACATTTATTTAAATTTATATTGCACCAATTTAACTGAAAAAACTGTTATCTTATTACCATAATATATATATTTTCATTGAAAAAATAGACTAAAAGGAAAAGTTAGTGTGTTGATGTAGTTGATTAATTTTCTTTGAGCATAAAAAAATTTCCCAATTTAAATTTTAAATTGAGCTTTAAAGCATTATTTTATATGTAGAATTAAATATGAAGCTAAGGCGGAAATTCAACTGAAGAAACTCTGATTACTTCCATTCAATCTGAGGCTAATCCGCCTCCGATGCAGCCAACCCGCTTCAAGCCACTTTCCTCGATGCCCAATCATCTTCCAGCACTCTACTTAAAGCCACTCCAAATCATCTCTAGGCCTGCTCTTCAACAAGCGCAAGATCCATCGCTCCTATGTCGGACTTTGATTCAGACAACCCACCTCCATCCCCTTCTCCACCATTGTAGTAAGCTCATCCGACTCCTCCTCGATGCTCCTTCAACCTCACCTCCAGTGTGTACTCCCTCCAGACTTTCATGGAGTTCCCTGTCACTTTAAACGGTCCGGCAGAAGACCGCCACGTTGAGCCTGGTTCTGCCAGAGATTTCTTCCCAAAGGGGAGTTTTTTCTCTCCACAGTCGCTTCATGCTTGCTCTTCATGGACAGTTTATGCAAACTTTGTTCATTCAGTGACATCTAACTCAAGCATCACCCTGTATACCAGCCTCTATGGATTAACCAAACTTCATCTATCTAAACTCCACCACCAGTTTCAGGGGGGGGGGAAATATCCTTATTCTCATACATCAGTTTATCTGCATTAAAGTATAAATCAGCGTTTATGTTTCCTGCCGAGGCCTGAGCGCCAAAGTTCAAACTATCGTATCAATAAACTCTTCTAATTGCATCTTTCTCTCTCTGTGAGTTGTTCAGATTGAATTGAAGGTGTATAATTTTCTTTAAATCTGTCTGTATGAATGCACTGAATAAAATAAAAATGTACTGCTTGTTTGTCATAAATGCAGCTTGAGATGATAACGTTTGTTTCAAGATGGTTCTACATAGAGGCTCATTTTACATTAGCCATCAGACTTCGCAATTCCGAATATAAATGTGCTAAATGGCAACAGTGGAATTTAGAAAAAGTTCTATTTTCGCATCACATGGGTCACATGATCTGAAACTGGACTTAAGGATCTTGTAGAGCCGAGCCTACACTGTACAATATTTTGCCCTTTTCAGGCGGATTCTTAAATCGTGTGAGAATTTTTCAGATCGGGCTGAGCTTCAGCCTTTTCGTGCGTCCTGTAGTATACAGGTGGTAACGAGGGGCAATTAGCCTCTCACAACCACCTCCAGATCAGAAATCGTAATGTTGGGAGAAAAATGTTTGAAATGCAGTCGGCCCTCATAAGGTGTTTGTGGGCAAATCCTGCTGTTGAACCCATTCTATGAGCATCTAAGAGCCCATTTACTGGACCCTTGGGAGACTGCAATACTGTGCAAACAAAGGTGTTGTTCTTCTTCCAGATTGACAAGTCCAGCATGTGGCTTTTGGACAAGCAGCATTAACAGTTCAATCAAACGCTTAAAAATTAATGCAACAGTTTTTGGCATTTACTTAGTCATATTTAGTTACTTTAACATTTTTTTTTTTCATTTTTGCAGGGTAGGACTTATAACGATTGTGTTAAAGTAACTAAATATGCTTAAGTAAATGCCAAAAGTGGATGTATTATTTTTTTCAGTGCATCAGAGCATTGGGCCATACAGTGTAAGAACATGCAAACCCTGCGCTTTCGTCTTACAGTTTGAGCTGTAGCTCAGTAGAAAAGTTGAAAGTATTATACAGTGTATACCCGGTTTCAGAAGACAGAGTAGAAGAGTGGAAGTTGTTTGTGGATGATGGTGTGGCGTATTTGGATTGATAAGGAGATAATTTTTCACATTTAGTGTGCTTTAATGAGTGTTAGAGCTTTAGCTGCAATCCAGATATACATATAATACATAATTATGAACAGAAGTTTTCACTTGCATTTCTAATTGTATTACCTATGTAATATTAGTTTTGTATTGCAAACATTTAACAGAATTCCAACAGTTTTCCGCAAATTTGTGTTCGAAACACGACTACCATTGAATTGGATAGTCCAAGGAATTAGAGCTGGTAAAGACTCACCTTTGGTCAGTGGTATAGACTTGCGTCTAATGGAAGCCCTGATGATATCGGAGCCATGGATGCACTCCTGATGCCGAAGCTGCTTAGACTCATAGAACCATTCTCCAGTCAGACATTTCAGCTGGCTTTTATCAGCAACAGTCCTCTGTAGGTTCCTGAGTACAGACACGTTCAACTTAATCCATTCATAAATATCCCTCCATTCATCCAATCTGTAACTAGCACGTTCTGGAAAAAAATGAGATTTTCTGAAAACTTTAAAGAAATTTAGTATAGAAGCTGTATACCTCTGTTTAATCATGTTAGCAATTGCAATTAAACAAACTTTTTTTGTTACTTTTTTGTTCCTTTTAACAAAGCTCAAACTCAGATTTAGATCCTCAACTCTAAATCCTAAAGTGGGACACTAAGGTTTTGGTTTCATAAAAGCTGCTTTGAGGTTAATCAACTCTGAATCGGTCCCCTGAGAGTTGAGTTCATGCCATACAATTAAAGAAAAGCCATTATCGGTGCACCAATTTGAAAAGTACCATGTCAACTGGCAACAGGAAGTGCCTATTTCAAACCACTGGAATTAGAGATTTTGATGAAGAAATAATTAAAAAAAAGTAGAATGTGTTTAAAAGACAGAGCAACAGCATTACAGCTACAAAGGAGAGGAAGAAGGTGAAGGAGAAGATTGCTGCTCGAGTTTATGCATAGATTTATATGAAGTTCAGGCCAATATAGCATTTATTAATAGTGCTCTCTCTGTTGTTTCATTTGGAGATCACTAAAATAAGATTCTTCCTGATCAAAATCACATTCCTAGATGGAAGTGAGATAATAGATTTTCTAAATTACATTTTTGCAGCAGAAACTGAATTTCAGAGAGGAAAAAATGCAAAATTGCACTGGTACAAATCTTATTTTATATACCTAGAAATGTTTACGCATTTTAAGTGTCCGTGTTGACATTTATCAGCTTGACTGAATCTTTATATATAGGTTCTCAAATACATTTTCTTCATAGTCAAAACAATACATATTATGACCACCCGTAACTATAGGAGTGTGGAGATCTGAATTTCATTTCTAGATATCCAGAATGTTTCTTTTAGACACGCAGAAAGTCATTTTGTCTAAAAACTTCATTAAGACAAGGAAAAAATTTATTTGCGAATATCTAAAACCCAAACTAAAGAATATCTAAACTGCCTGCCGTAGCCTGTTCTAATCACAATAACATTTTGGGTATAACTAGTTTACTGGTTTAATGGTAGTGAATCAATTAATTATATTTAAGATTAAATTATATTTAAGATTAAAACTCACGGGAGAGAAGCGCATCCGTTAGCAGGTGAAGATGAAGTATAAATATGCAGTTCTAATAGGAAGGACCTGTGCATCATTTCATAGGGTTCCTCCTCTTTTTATTTCTTCCTCCATTACACAGTAAATATGAGGCTGTCGGACTGTGCATTAATTTTTTATAATGCTGTTATCACACATCAATCTGTTCTCACTGATATCAATTACTTATAAATCCCTGTTAAAGAAGTCAATGCTGTAAATGCGAGGACGGATGAGGTTGTGGATGTATGTTATGGATTGTGAGGTGAAACAGTAGCATTCATAAAGATACCTGAATACAGAAACGCGGTGTGGGAACTCTCTCCCTATGAAAATGTTATTCTCTGTGAAGCCTGAAAATTTTTCCATTTTTTTCATTTTAAGCAACTGGACGAGAAGTTATCTCTGTGGATTATTGCCACTCGTTGTTCAATAGGATCCTTGTCAAAAGGACATGCTATGTTTTTGTTTTTAATACTTAATGTGTGCAACAGACCTAGTGAATGATTTCCTTTTTTTTGTTCACACAAATCTGTGACAGAACTCTGCTGATAAAATCAGGAAATTAAACAATGTGATTTGCTTTGACGAAAGTGGAAACAGAGGACTGAGTTTATTTAGGAGACCCTGCTGCTGCCAAGGGTAGCTCTGAGGAAAACGTTACTACGGTAACAGAAACAGGTTGAATAAACTCTCTTATTTAAACGGAAAACTCAGAGTTTCTCTGATTTCAGGTTTAGAAAACTTTGAGCTTTCAATAAACCTGTTTTGTGAAACAGACCCCTGGTGTTTTATGATTGTGTTGCTGTTATAGAAGAAACCATTGGTTAGTAACCGATCTAACCAATGGTGATCTGACCAGTGATGACATGTTTAGCCGCATGTCGTCATTCAACCGCTGGTTGTCTAGGTGGTGTCCTGAAAACAACGTGGGCTACATTAATAATTGGCAATCCTTTTGGGGAAAGCCTGGTCTGATTCGGAGAGACGGCATCCATCCCACTTTGGATGGTGCAGCTCTTCTTTCTAGGAATCTGGCCACATTTATTAGTCCTCCAAAACCCTGACCACCCAGGGTGCAGACCAGGAAGCAGAGTTGTAGTTTAACACACATCTCTGCAGCTTCTCTACTGTTACCCACTCTTTACTCCATCCAGACAGTGTCTTGCCCACGACCAAAATCTAATAAATTAGCAAAGATTCCCAAAGGAGTAAATCATGATAATCTAATTAAAATCAAAATAACTCCAATTGGGGAAAAAGTTAAAACAATTAAATGCGGTCTGTTTAACATAAGATCGCTTTCCTCTAAAAGTCTACTAGTTAATGACTTGATTTGTGATAATCACATTGACTTGTTTTGCCTTACAGAAACCTGGCTGCAGCAAGAGGATTATGTGAGCATAAATGAGGCAACTCCTTCAAGCTATTTAAATTTTCACATCCCCAGAAGTTCTGGGCGAGGAGGAGGAGTAGCAACAATCTTCCAGTCTGACTTACTGATTACTCCCAAAACAATTAATACCTACAACTCTTTTGAACATTTAACCCTTAATTTCCCTGATCCAAATTTCAAGGCAAGAAAACCTCTTCTTTTTGTAACTTTGTATCGTCCACCAGGTCCTTACTCTGAATTTTTAGATGAGTTTTCAGAGTTCCTTTCTGATTTGGTATTAAATACTGACAGGGTCATCATAGTGGGAGATTTTAACATCCATGCTGACATTGAAGGCGATAGCTTAAGAGCAGCCTTTAATGCTATCTTAGACACTATTGGCTTTGTTCAAAATGTGAATAGTCCCACGCATTCTCATCTTCATACTTTGGATCTTGTGCTGACATATGGCATAGAATGTGAAGAAATAACAGTATTTCCTCACAACCCTGTCCTCTCTGACCACTTTCTAATAACCTTCAGGATTACTTTAACAGAGTTCTCCTCCCCCAAAAGAAGGTTCAATTTTAGTAGATCTTTATCAGATAGTGCAGTTATAAATTTTAAAGAATCTGCTTCACTTTCTCTCTCCTCTGTGTCACTGAGCAGTGCTGCAGAGTGCAAAATCTTAGCTTATTCCCCTTCACAGGTTGATGATTTTGTTGATGGGGTTGCTAGTTCTCTGCGTATTGCCTTAGACAACGCAGCTCCTTTGAAAATGAAAACCGTTAAAAATAGAAAGCTTGCTCCTTGGTTTAATGCAGAGCTGCATACTTTGAAGCAAAATGCTAGGAAACTGGAGAGAAAATATCGCTCCACAGGCCTGCGGGAGTCCTTCCTAGTCTGGAAAAATGGTTTACTGCTGTATAAGAGGACCCTTTGTAAAGCAAGAGCAGCATACTTCTCCTCATTAATAGAGGAGAATAAGAATAATCCTAGATTTCTTTTTAATACAGTTGCCAAACTCACCCAGAGCCATAGCTCTGTTGAACCGTCCATTCCACCTGCTCTTAGCAGCAATGATTTTATGGGATTCTTTATAAATAAGATTGATCTTATTAAAAATAAGATCATAAGCACTCCTCTATCCGCGATTGTACCTGAGGTAGTCATGGAATCTGAACCGGGTTTAGACTGCTTTGATCCAGTTGACCTCACTGAATTAGCAAAATTATTGTCTTCATCTAAGCCTTCAACTTGTATGTTAGATCCAGTTCCAACCAGGTTATTTAAGGAGGTATTCCCTTTGATCTCCTCCTCCATTTTAGATGTGATTAATCTATCTCTGTTACAGGGATATGTACCTAAAGCTTTTAAGGTTGCTGTAATTAAACCTCTGCTTAAGAAACCGTCTCTTGACCCAGATGACTTGGTCAATTATAGACCTATATCCAATCTTCCTTTCTTATCCAAAATTCTTGAGAAAATAGTTGCCAAACAAGTTTGCGATCACTTACACCATAATGAACTTTTTGAAGAGTTTCAGTCTGGCTTTAGAGCTCATCATTGCACTGAAACAGCTCTGGTGAAAGTCACTAATGATATTCTCATGGCCTCAGATAATGGACTTGTATCTGTGCTCGTCCTGTTGGATCTTAGTGCTGCATTTGATACAGTTGACCATAATATTCTTTTAGAAAGACTTGAATATTTTGTTGGAATTAAAGGAACAGCACTAGACTGGTTTAAATCTTATCTATCTGATCGAATTCAGTTTGTTCATGTTAATGATAGATCTTCAACACGCTCAAAGGTTACCTGTGGAGTACCACAGGGATCAGTGCTAGGACCAATTCTCTTTACTTTATACATGCTCCCAATTGGTAGAATTATTAGACAGCATGGGATTAATTTCCACTGTTATGCTGATGATACCCAGCTATATCTGTCTATAAATCCAGATGAAGCTAACCCATTACATAGATTACAGGCATGTCTTGAAGACATAAAAACCTGGATGACTCTTAACTTTCTGCTTCTGAATGCAGACAAAACAGAAGTTATAGTCTTTGGACCAGAGTCTCTGAAAAAGAAACTGATTAGCCAGTCACTTCATTTGGATGGGATTAAACTGATTTCAGATAATAAAGTAAAAAATCTTGGTGTTATTTTTGATCAGGACCTGTCATTTAAATCCCATATCAAAGAGGTTTCTAGAATTTCCTTCTTTAATCTGAGGAACATTGCAAAAATTAGAAATATCCTGTCCAGGGGTGATGCTGAGAAACTAGTCCATGCATTTGTTACTTCAAGGCTGGACTATTGTAATTCTTTACTATCAGGAAGTCCACAAACTGTAGTTAAAAGCCTTCAGCTGATCCAAAATGCTGCAGCCAGAGTTCTAATGAAAATTAAAAAGAGAGATCATATCTCGCCTATCCTGGCTTCTCTTCATTGGCTTCCTGTTAAATCAAGAATAGAATTTAAAATCCTCCTTCTCACATATAAAGCCTTAAATGGCCAAGCTCCATCTTATATCAGAGATCTGATTGTTCCTTATGTTCCTAACAGAGCACTTCGCTCTCAATCTGCAGGTTTACTAGTGGTTCCTAGAATTTCTAAAAGTAGAATGGGAGGCAGATCTTTTAGTTATCAGGCTCCTCTCCTGTGGAACCAACTACCAGTTTTAGTCCGTGAGGCAGACACCCTGTCTACTTTTAAGGCTAGGCTTAAAACTTTCCTTTTTGATAAAGCTTATAGTTAGGGTGGCTCAGGTTATCCTGAGCTATCTCTATAGTTATGCTGCTATAGGCTTAGACTTTTGGAGGACATAGGGACCCCCATTTCATCATTCTGCTTCATTCTCTCTCTGTTCTCCTATTCTGCAGAATCTGTTAGTTCAATCTCTAACCTTCTGCTCTCTCTGCTTTTCCTCAGAGTAGCTTTGCCTCGTCTGTTCCTGTTTGGCTGTGACTCCATCCTGGAAAGAAACATCAGCTGTGCTGCTTCTATCAACACCCTTGTTTATAGATGTTGGAGATCGGCCTATTTTCCAGTGTGGTCCTGTTTCTCTGACCGTGACTGAGTGGATGTGCTCTCTTCGTCCTCTGGCATGGGAGCTGCCTTGGAGCTCGTCTGCCTGTCTGTGTGTTTCCTGGACGGGGCCGCCTTTTACAGCTGCTTTTTGTATATCTGCTTCTGTCTCCTTGAACCCCAGTCGGCCTCGGCAGATGGCCGCTCACACTGAGCCTGGTTCTGCTGGAGGTTTCTTCCTGTTAAAAGGGAGTTTTTCCTCTCCACTGTCGCTACAAGCATGCTTAGTGTGGGGGATTGTATTTGAGTCAATGAGTCAATGCAATCAACTGGTTTTCCTTAGATAGAAAACTTTGTATCAATTTGACTGTATGATCTGGTTGAACTGTAAAGTGCCTTGAGATGACATGTGTTGTGAATTTGGCGCTATATAAATAAACTGAATTGAATTGAATTGAATAACCAATGGTTACTCTTAAATACTGGATTATTAAACATAGCTAAAAACTGTTATAAAAGGCTTGCTCACATGCTTGTGCATGAGCACTCTTGACTTTTTCCAATTAAAACTTCTTACTTCACTCTTTATTCTAACGCAGAATGTCACAACAGAGGAGATAGATAAACTGGGTTCAAACATATAACATTATAATAAGTAGTGTTGCACTGATACCAATACCAGTATCGGGCAGGGCCCCCTTCCAGTACTTAAATGGTGGTATCGGTATCGGTGAGTACCAACAAATAGGGCACCAATACCATTTTGAGAGCCTAAAGTTTATTGAACTATTGTCACCCGTTCCAGGTAGACAATAAAAAGTTCTACTGGATTCACTTTGTTTTAGTCTTTTTCCTGCTTCACAAAGGTAGGCAGCAGCTTGACAAAGCCATGATGGCAGTTATTTTACATCCAAGTAGTATGCACTTCTTCATGTATACACATACATCAATTTCAAACAAATGGTATTGGTATGGTATCTGTATCGGCTGATACTGCGCAGCCAGGTATCTGTATCTGGGCCTAAAATTGGCATTGGCGCAACACTAATTATAAGCTTAGCTTTTGTTTTCTTTTATGTTTATGTTGCTTGATGTTAATTTTTCATTTTTTTTTCTGTGAAGATAAAAAGCTCCCTTACTGTACCTCCCTAAGCCCAATGGCCAGCATAACCAAAAGGATGGACTGATTTGGGCTGGTAAAAAACCAAAAACAAAACAGACATGGTAGATGGCTTACTCTATGGGGCTGCTGAAGCCATGACCAAAATCAAACAAATCAAAATGGAATCTTAACCTAAATGAAAGAAAATAACGACATTAGCACAGCCAGCCCAAAAGGCCAAAACCAAAAGCGATTTACTTCCTCAGCTGCATGCACCTCGTAGCCAGGGCTAACATTAGCCCATCTGCAACAGCAAAATGTTCATTTGATTTGTGTTTATCTGACTGTGTTAATTATGTTAGGATAATTGTTATTGATGATGTGTGAGTTTATTACACCATGGGATCTGCTGCCTGTTGAGTGTCAGAACTGATGTTTTTCACAATAGTTTATCTGATTAAGACAGTTCCTCTATCCCAGAGGTCTTCAACAGGGGGTCCGCGACCCCTAGGGGGTCCACGGAGGTACTGCATGGGGGTCGTGAAAGTTTTGGTTGATTAAACTTTTTTTTTATATTCCCTCTTGCAATTTTTCCCACTAATTGAAATGTCTTTAAATCCACATGAACATGAATTCAACAGACTGTAATAAACAGATAAATGGAGGCAGAAGATGTCTTTCAGTCTTCAATGCACACATTCAGCGACACACAGGAGCTCTTTCAAGCTGGACACCGTTTCATTCACAACACCTGTCCCATTAACCAGGAATCAGAAATACTTTAATAATCCCAGGGAGGGATTACTTTAGTTACATTAATCCATCTGTAATAGAGTGACTATAGGACCAGTTTGATAGAACACTATTTCATACCATATATGTAATTAGGGGGTCCCCGCTCCATCTCGCCATCAGTTTGGGGTCCTTGGCCTGGAAAACGTTGAAAACCCCTGCTCTATCCTGATATACAGTTATAATCTTCATTCTTTACGTGGCAAATATTTGAGAATGGCATGAGAGCGTTGTCCTTCAACTAAGAACAAAGGGTAATATTTTGATAAGGCTGGAGCCATGGATGTCTACTCATCTGCTAACGTGTATGATGTAAAATATGATGATGTCGCAGACTGGAGATGTATAAAATGCCTTTTTAACTGTTAATCGGGGCCACTTCCTGAGAGGCGAGCCCGGAGGTGAGTCCATACTTTCCTGTGTTCTTCTCAAGAACATATTTGGCGAGTACACGAGTCTGCACTCACAGTCTTGTGAATTGAGAAACAGCCACTATCAATGGTACGAGCGGGGCTGCTGCTCTTGAAATACCGACTATGTAAGTTGGGAAAATATGTGCCATCATTTGCCAGGTCATGTGACCTGAAGGAACGTATGGCTTTACGGCCACAGGGTCTTATGTAGTCATGGAGCTAAGGCTTTTGTTCTACTACTTTTCCGCCTTCTCGACTACTGGTCGTGCCTAAGGCAAAGAAAAAGTTTAACTCTTCTGAGGAGGCTAAAAAGAGTAAATGTAAAAGGGATAGAGGAAAAACAAGAGTCGATCATGGAAAAGAATTTGCTGGCGCAGGCTGAAAGAAGGAGCCGGATATAAAAGTTATTCTATTTTCTCAACTGTATTATAGACTGGTAAGTTAACATTTTGCTCCGGGCAGTTATAGGTCTAGTGCCCCTAGTGCTCAAAAGTTACATGGTGTGCCTTTAAGCTTATTATCATGATCATGTACCTATGAGTTTTGTCAGGTTTATTAAAAAACTGAAGTAAACAAAAAGACTATTAAAACTCACTGTATTCGTTTCTCCTCAGCCTTTTTCAGCTCAGCATCTCTTTTCAGCACAGCCATAATCTTCTCAGACTCTTCCTGTGTCAAAAAACTCAAGTCGATCATGTTGACACTTGGTGGACTCTCCCGGATTGCTCCTCTTTAATTTGACTTTAGCAACTCCCGAGACTGGATCTTTAACACAGAGGGAAATGTATGTCAATGAAACATGCTTACATATTTTTTCCTCATCTTAGAATAGGGTCTCCTACCAACTGAACATTTTGGTATAACCATAAAAAATACTGAAAACCATCCATATTCTAGTTATATTAAACAAAACACATATTTTAAACACATGTTTTAAACACATAGCCAACACGGACAAAAATTAAGGGAAATTAAAGAACGTAGGAGATAACTATACTCTTTTATCATTACCATGACCATATTTAGACCTACATACCATGTCTAAATACCTACTTTTTTCTACCATATTTAGCTGATCCAAAACCCTGATTCCCTGATTTCACCAGAACTAAGAAAGTAGATCACATCAGCCCAGTTCTGATGTTCTTCCATTGGCTCTCTCTAGCTCAATGAATAGACTTTGTAATCCTTCTGTTAGACTAGAAATCGGTGAATGGATCAGCATCTCAATACATAACAGATTTGTTTTTAGTGTATCAACCTTTTCTAGAAGCAGCATTTAGTTTCTATTCTCTCCTGATCTGGAACAAATTCCCAGAAGACTGTAAGGTTATCCTGAGCTATCTCTATAGTTATGCTGCTATAGGCTAAGACTGCTGGAGGACATAGGGACCCGTTTAATCATTCTGCTTCATTCTTTCTTTATTTTCCCTTTACACAGTCTTTGTTAGTTCAGTCTCTAATGTTATGCTCTCTCTTTTTTTCTCGTCTCTCACCAGGCTCAGTGTGAGCAGCCATCTGCTGAGGCTGACGGGGTGTATATATATGCATATACACACACTCATCAGCTACTTTATTAGGTACACCTGTCCAATTGCTCGTTAACACTTAATTTCTAAGCAGTCAATCACATGGCGGCAACTCAGTGCATTTAGGCATGTAGACATGGTCAAGACAATCTCCTGCAGTTCAAACCGAGCATCAGTATGGGGAAGAAAGGTGATTTGAGTGACTTTGAACGTGGCATGATTGTTGGTGCCAGAAGGGCTGGTCTTAGTATTTCAGAAACTGCTGATCTACTGGGATTTTCACGCACAACCATCTCTAGGGTTTACAGAGAATGGTCCGAAAAAGAAAAAACATCCAGTGAGCGGCAGTTCTGTGGGCGGAAATGCCTTGTTGATGCCAGAGGTCAGAGGAGAATGGCCAGACTGGTTGGAGCTGATAGAAGGGCAACAGTGACTCAAATAACCACCCGTTACAACCAAGGTGGGCAGAAGAGCATCTCTGAACGCACAGTACGTCGAACTTTGAGGCAGATGGGCTACAGCAGTAGAAGACCACACCGGGTGCCACTCCTTTCAGCTAAGAACAGGAAACTGAGGCTATAATTTGCACAAGCTCATCGAAATTGGACAATAGAAGATTGGAAAAACGTTGCCTGGTCTGATGAGTCTCAATTTCTGCTGCAACATTCGGATGGTAGGGTCAGAATTTGGCGTCTACAACATGAAAGCATGGATCCATCCTGCCTTGCATCAACGGTTCAGGCTGGTGGTGGTGGTGTCATGGTGTGGGGAATATTTTCTTGGCATTCTTTGGGCCCCTTGGTACCAATTGAGCATCGTTGCAACGCCACAGCCTACCTGAGTATTGTTGCTGACCATGTCCATCCCTTTATGACCACAATGTACCCAACTTCTGATGGCTACTTTCAGCAGGATAATGCGCCATGTCATAAAGCTGGAATCATCTCAGACTGGTTTCTTGAACATGACAATGAGTTCACTGTACTCAAATGGGATGTGGTGGAATGGGAGATTCGCATCATGGATGTGCAGCCGACAAATCTGCGGCAACTGTGTGATGCCATCATGTCGATATGGACCAAACTCCCTGAGGAATGCTTCCAGCACCTTGTTGAATTTATGCCACGAAGAATTGAGGCAGTTCTGAAGGCAAAAGGGGGTCCAACCCGTTACTAGCATGGGGTACCTAATAAAGTGGCCGGTGAGTGTATATATATATATATATATATATATATATATATATATATATATATATATATATATATATATATATATATATATATATATATATATATATACATATTTATTTAGTACAAATATTGCAGTGGCGGCTGGTGGAGTTCTCTCCAGGGGGGGCTATAAATTCTATAAATTCAAAATAGATGTATATCAAAAAACAATCAAACGTATACTAAATTATCACACCAGCAAATATATATGAATGTTTACAACAAAAAACATTATAAAAACACTTTATAAACATGCATAATTTTATGTAAAGATTTTCTTTTGTACATAAATCTTACCCTCCTGAGGCTTTGTAAAGGTAAAGCTGTGTTTTGCATGATCCAATATGGTGTCAAATAATAATGTAATGGCGAGAAGCTCTTAATCAGCTTCATATTTTTCTAATATATAAAAACTATTTATTTTCTAAGAATGTGTTTATTTAAGAGCAACTATGCAAATCAACAGACACATAGAAAAAGTAGACGATATTCTATTAATCCCAGACTGTTCATTCTTCTTTGCCTTTTATAAAAAGTGCTGTAAATCAGTCCCACCTGTTCTTACCCATGCTGGATCAGATCCTGACGTTTGAAAAAGGACTTCTCACCATAATCTCTACCTCACTGCCTGACTGACTACTAGCTACATCACCTATATCACTATAGCAGGGACCAACATTCCAGGAGCCCCAAAGCCATTCATTATTGCAATGCTGATTGACCAAATACTAATTAATGTTCCTTAGCAACACTATGCAATTGGTTATTTCGCTACACTTTCGCTACACTTCAGGAGATGATATGTTCTGTTGGTGGAAATGCACTATTGAATTAGAGCCAATTGATAGAACTCTTTATTTAATAATTCATATTACATGTAGCCACAAACTGTTTAGTAAAACTGACAATGATAATACTTTTAAAATCTATATATATTATGACTTTTCCCCTCCACATCTAGGGAGGGCAGTGCTTGAGCGCCCCCTATGTGCCAGCCGCCACTGAAATGTTGATTTTTATAAAGGGATTGTAGGGGACCAGCCAGGGACCCATCAAGGAAAGTGGGGAACTTTTGATTGGCTACTACTGTACATCACAACCCAATCTGTCTCCTTTGGTCTTTAATTCTCTTCTCTGTATTTCTTTACTCTATTGGGCTCCTAATTATAGTAGTCGTACATATTTAAAGTCTATTCATTGTCTAAAGTAGCATTGCTATCCATTGTTCACTGCTGTAAAGCTTAGCGGACTACTTGACCTTATGTTTTTTCTTTGGTTTTATATAGGAAAGTACAATCTTATCCCAAAAACAACCTAAAAGGCCAAAATATTTCAAACACAAGAATGTTTTGATACAATAACCAAGCATTGATAAAAGTGGGGCTGTAACCTCCAATATGCTCTTTTAAGCCATGCGCTGCTTGTCTGAGCTCAAAAACACTGCAGCAGCAACACGTTACAGCCCAGAGGAAATGTGAAGGGCGTAACATGGCTATCAGACCTAAAGGGCCGCAGGGCAAAGAGAAGAGGAAGGGGAGTCAGGTGCTCAAATAATCTCTGTGGCAGGGATGTGGCGTCAGTCACTCTCGCTTTGTCATTGACCTTTGATCTTCCACAACCTCAAACGGCAGATGCAGGACTGAATTTTAACGCAGAGGAAAGACTACTCTTTCTTTAAGCAAATTTATTTTAGTGCAACAAAACATCCTGCAGGATCCACAGCAGCTCCTTTAATCAGCTAGCTGCAGGCAGATGCTATGTGAGAGCGCTAACTGCCATGCAGCAGCGCCGCTCATTAAAAACAGTAAACCGTCCGATCGATGCTTTCACATGTTGCCACTGAAGTCTCCAACAACACAGACAGAAGTCGGCATTCTCTTTTCTAAAATAAAAAGTTGCTAGAGGGGTCTGAAAGCTCTCTAAATCTAGGGACAAAGTTGCTGGCAACAGTGACTCTCACACTCTCTGCCTTCCCCTGTCCCCAACTTGTTTCTAATCCTGTTAGAAAGGCAGAAAGCACCTGCAGTGGCGCCAGATGCAATACAGTACCATTTTAAATGTCTTGATACAAAAATAGAACACTGGAAAAAATAAACAAGTTTTTAACCGTGCAAAAAAATCTAAATCTAGATAAATAATTTTTTTATTAAAATAAGGGCATTTGTTCTTGAATTGAGGAAGTAAAAGGGACACTTTGCCAATGAAACAAGACAATTTACACCTAAAATAGGAAACATAATTCCATTGTCTTGTTTCAAGTGCATATTATCTCATTATCTTATTTTAAGAGTAAAAAACCTCATTCAAAACTATTTCATTTACCTAACCAAATTAAGGGTAAATCATTTCATTTAAGAAACGTTTACTCATTTCTAGATCATTTTTCCAGTGTGACATCTTTGGGCTTAACAGTGCTTTTCATTGTGTGAATAAATGTTATTTTTATATTAAAGTCTTGCTGTTTGTCTGTCATTTTCTAAGCTTAAATACTGAAGGATAAAAAAAAAGATACAATCTAAAATACACTAAGTTGCTGTTTAATTAACTTTGTGAACTTTGCAATGTATTCTTTAATTGATATTGGTGGGTCAGTGAATGGCTGATATAAATAGGCCCTGCCTTTTCTAGCTCATCAAAAAAAATTGGTTGAAAACATGATGTGGTTTACATCTAAGCGGCGTCTATAACGGGCTGAACAGTAAAAGGTGAAAATCCGTAATTTTTAGATCATTGAAAAGACTTTGAAAAAAGGTTGTTCAACGTCTATTATTGAACTGAAGTGGGGAAAAATTAGGCCGACCAAACACCAATTTTAAACATCCATTTGTAGGTTAAATCCAGACTGTGACGGACTGACCAGATTTTGCCTAAAAACCAACGTCTGGTGTTTGGGGGGGATGTCATGTACTTTTTTCAGCTCAGAAACCAGGTCCCAAATGAAATCTGATTGTTCAATAGCTTTGCCAAGATAAAATAAGTAAAGAGTTCCGATGTTGCAGGGGAAGTTAAAAAAGAAAAGTGCTTTAACATGCTTTTGTTCTGATCATTTTTACAGGGGGCTGGTAGCATGAGGGGATGTTTGGATTACAGGCATCATCATTTTTTTCAAATAATCATTTCCAAAAAAATAACTGAAAAAAAATCTACTGGACTTTGTTTCCAAGTTTAAAGACATTTCTCTTCCAATCTAGGAAGCTTTCTCATTCAAAATGTCAGAAATAGCTTTGAGTTCCAGGTTTTAAACAGTAACCCAACAAAGCCTTGTTTTAGTTTATAAAACATGCAAATAGAAACAGACTAATGGGTTCGCCCCTTTGGAATGGGGGTCGTTTGGCTTCTTTTGTTAGCCTGCAATGCCCCATACCTGTCTATGTCTCTGAAAGGGGGTCGTAAGAGGGAATTGTTGGCCTGGCTGAAAAGGTGAGGTCCTCCACACTGCTGTACAGAGGTTGAGGATGCGATGATATGGGAAAGGAATCAACTCATTTGCTGCATTGTAGGTTTTTGAAAGCCTGAGTCCACCCCCTCCGTTTAAGGTTGTTTTTTATTCGTTTATTCCTTCACAGCCCTTTCAAATTACCTATTTTCTTTATCTTAAATATGAATGTTCTGTTCCTCAAAAGAATGTCCTTTGCCAATTAGGTGTAGATGTACTGCAGAGTCTTGTCCAGAGGAGGGCTCTCCTATGTGTTGGGACATGTGTCTGTTGAGAGGTTATTTGGTTTCTCCAATATAAAGATCAGAGCATTCCTCACTGCATTTAACTTCATACACCACACCGCTCAGATTAGGTCTGGGGGTTTTGTCCTTAGGATGCACTAGCCAACTAACAACAAAGCCTCAAACTCAACGCGGTTCCTGACATGTTGAATTAAAAAAATTTCCTGGATGGGAAGAGAAACGTCTTCAAATTTGGAAACAAATTATCTTTTTTCTTTGGAATGACTATGACCTGGATGACTGAGAATCTTCACCAGCATTTAAGAATGATTATTACTAATTCCAACTAATTCCAAGAACCTTATCTTTTTTTTAATCTTTTCTTAAACTAACTGTAGAACACATAATGTCATAATGTTTTCATGTCTTAACATTTGGCAGTTGTTGTAGATCATTTGCAACATGCCCACTTACTGCACAGGGCGAACATATCATTGCTATTGCAATTTAGCTCCCCTATTGAGGAATCTTTGAAGATGGCCTCAGCAGATGGCCGCTCACACTGAGCCTGGTTCTGCTGGAGGTTTCTTCCTGTTAAAAGGGAGTTTTTCCTCTCCACTGTCGCTACAAGCATGCTTAGTGTGAGGGATTGCTGAAGAGTCAATGAGTCGATGCAATCAACTGGTTTTCCTTATATAAAAAACTTGAATCAACCAGACTGGATGATCTGGTGAACTGTAAAGTGCCTTGAGATGACATGCTGTGAATTGGCGCTATAGAAATAAACTGAATTGAATTCAAGATCGGGCTCTTAGTAGAAAAGCTGTTTGGATGTTATGCACAATGTGATTCATCCTTGTTTGTATTGTGTGCAACCATTATATGAGTTCTTAAAATTCCCTTTACCAAAAACAGGAACAGATTTTTTCAAACGTTGGAGCTGATGCCCCTTAGCTGCAGCACTGCTTTGGTGTTGCATAGCAGCACGGCAGAAAAAGGAATGTTGTATTTCCAGTTGTTCCTGAGTGGAAGCCTAGTTGTGAAATTCTGCAAAATTATTTCCTTGTTTCTTGCAAGAAAAAAGTGGAACATTTGTCTTCTAGATTTTTAGGTTTGTTCATCACACTAACAGCAGGATCTAAAAACAACTTGGAGTCACCACTCCCTGGCAAAGTTCATTCTGAAACTGGTCAGACTTAAAAGAAAAGAAAGTAGAAAAGAATATCTAGAATTGCAGCTGTATGCTGAACGTCAGCTACGCTTTTTCACATTTAATCCCAAAGAGGTTTAGCATTGTGGATTAGAGGGCATGTTGAGATTTTTAGCAAATGCCTTTGTTTAATAACGTATATATGAGGCCAGTTCAGGTAAAATGTTGTAAATAGTAAATATAACTGTTTAGAAAGAAAATTACCACCACAACTTACAGCTTTTACAGCTGTTGACAGATATATCCCACCGTTGAGATAAGTAATTACTTTCATATTAACGTAGTTCTTATAATTTGGTTGAGAACAACACAGAAACTTGACAGATTTCTCCTTCTCTATGTTGTATGATGATATATTTTGTGGGTTGTGGAATGAAACTACTTTTTTTTTGCAAATGTTTTCCACTCATAGCAACTTATATAAGTCAATCTTTTACAACTTTACTGGAATAAATTATCATAAAACAGAAAACAATTAAACTTAAAATAATGCAAGTATAAATTGAGTAAAAAAGAACTTACCTTTCTCAGTATCTCCTTAGCAAGTGAAAAGTAAATCTGCTGTAGGTGGGAGGAGCTACATGAGAGGCACAAGAAGACATGCAGTTTCTAGTGCCGCTGCTCTCTTGATTCTATTCTGTTAATACAATAAATAAAAATTTGAAATTTCAAAGGGCTTCACAAGAATAAAAAAAAAAGTTAAAACGGCTCATTTAGCCAAAACCCTGTTTACATGAATATGTCCATAGGTGTATGTTGAATGTATCAGAATGTGTTTGAGTCAAGGAGAGAAGAAGGAAGGTCTTCAGTTCTGGTCTCCAGTACCACTGTACTCCTTTTTGGGGATTTTCTCCTGCCTTCATGCATGTGACTTAAAAAAACAAGTGATTAACCAGCCTGATCCAAGCGTGCTGGAGCAGACTTAACATGCAAGACAGGTTAGAAAAGCTAATTATAAGGGTTTAACATGTATGTAGATTTTGGCAGTGGGTGCCCTAAAATAAATACATAAAAACATTAAACTGTATTCAAAAATCAACAGAGAGTCAATGCAACAATGCAAGAACTGTGTTTGTGTTTCTATACATCAAATTAATCAATTTACAATGAAAACACAAGAATATGTTTTAATTTGAAAAAAATATTTAAAATCCATTAATTTTATAAAACTATTTAGGTAGAATTGCAGCTTTAGTTATATATATTCAAATTGTTAAATGCAAACACTAACCCTAATTTTTATAGAAGCAAAAGGTTACAGAATATATAAATATAATCCACTGTAAAAAGGGTAAATAATAGCAGAAAAAGATGCAAAAGTTTAATATCTTGTAAAAAATATTTTATTTCTACAAATAAAAAAATAATAAAACCTGTATTAGGGCCAGTTTCAATTGACCCTGATTTATGCTGCATGCTCCCATTCTTACCAAGTCCAGACTTTCCTGTGTTCTTGCCAAGACCAGAGTTGACGACAGCGCGAGTACGGACTCGCGTTCTTGTAAATTGAGAAACAGAATCAGTCATGCTTATCTCTACATATAAGCCGCAGCTGATTGGGGCTAAATCGACAGTTGAAGAGTTCCGAGTGCTGTCTGAGGGTGACATGGAGACACTCCAAGACTGTTTTGAATGCTCTGACAGCAACATATGACAACTTATTAAATATTGATGAGTATGCCATGAGTGTTTCAGCCTACATCAACAAATGCATTGAGGACGTCAGCATCAAAAAGAACATCACCACCCGGGCCAACCAACCACCCTGGATAAATGGAGAGCTTGGTAATCGCTAAAAGCACCGAACTCAGCTTTCAACTCTGTTGATAAAGAGGCACTGAGAACAGCGCGTGCCAACTTAAACCATCAGATCAGCGAAGCAGAACCACAGCCAGAAGATCCAGGATCTTTTCCAGGACGACAGCAACACCAGGAGGATGTGGAAAGGCATTCGGATGGTCACAGACGCACCCTCCCCTCCCCCCCCGGTAGATGCAGCAAACACTGACTTCCTGAATGAACTGAACAATTTCTTTGGAAGGATTGAGGCACTAAACAGCCTCCAGCAGTGAAAGTTGTTCCACACCAGGGGGAGGAGGCACTAAACCTGGATGTAGCTGAAGTGAGGAAAACTCTGAGGAGAGTCAATCCAAGGAAGGCCCCAGGGCCTGATAACATACCTGGGCGGGTGTATAAGGAGTGTGCAGATCAGCTGGCTGGTGTCCTCACAGACATCTTTAACACCTGGCTGGATCAATCCATAGTGCCAGCATGCTTCAAGTCTGCCTCCATTATTCCGGTCCCAAAGAAGCCTCAGGTCACCTCACTAAATGATTACCGGCCTGTTGCATTGACTCCTATCATGATGAGGAACGGCTCCACTGAGGACGCCATCTCTGCTGCTCTCCACCTGAGCCTGGCACACCTGGAGGAGAAGAACACCCAGGTGCAGATGCTGTTCCTGGACTTCAGTTCAGCTTCAACACCATCATCCCACAGCATCTGATGGGAAAAAGGGAACAGCTGGGATTCAATACACCCCTCTCATTGGGGCATCTCTTCCCCAGGTCCAGCATGTTCCATAATAGTTTTTTCCCCACTGCCATGGGTTATTTTATTGTATTGTATTATATTTATAAAAAAAAAAGAAATGTTAGAACTGTAAATATACAGTCATATGTTTATATTACTGTTTTTAGATATTTTTTACTGTTTTCAAGCCCTTTAGAAAAATTAAATTGTCTATAGAGCTGTTCTTAGCTATTTTTTTTGTTTTGTTTACACTTGTGTATACAAAATGACAAAATAAATCTCTCTAAGTCTAAGTCAAATAAAGAGGACTAATGCAGAAAGTTTGCTCTTTTATGAATTACACTCACCGGCCACTTTATTAGGTACCCCATGCTAGTAACGGGTTGGACCCCCTTTTGCCTTCAGAACTGCCTCAATTCTTGGTGGCATAGATTCAACAAGGTGCTGGAAGCATTCCTCAGGGAGTTTGGTCCATATTGACATGATGGCATCACACAGTTGTCGCAGATTTGTCGGCTGCACATCCATGATGCAAATCTCCCGTTCCACCACATCCCAAAGATGCTCTATTGGATTGAGATCTGGTGACTGTGGAGGCCATTTGAGTACAGTGAACTCATTGTCATGTTCTAGAAACCAGTCTGAGATGATTCCAGCTTTATGACATGGCACATTATCCTGCTGAAAGTAGCCATCAGAAGTTGGGTACATTGTGGTCATAAAGGGATGGACATGGTCAGCAACAATACTCAGGTTGGCTGTGGCGTTGCAACGATGCTCAATTGGTACCAAGGGGCCCAAAGAGTGCCAAGAAAATATTCCCCACACCATGACACCACCACCACCAGCCTGAACCGTTGATACAAGGCAGGATGGATCCATGCTTTCATGTTGTAGACGCCAAATTCTGACCCTACCATCCAAATGTTGCAGCATAAATTGAGACTCATCAGACCAGGCAACGTTTTTCCAATCTTCTATTGTCCAATTTCGATGAGCTTGTGCAAATTGTAGCCTCGGTTTCCTGTTCTTAGCTGAAAGGAGTGGCACCCGGTGTGGTCTTCTACTGCTGTAGCCCATCTGCCTCAAAGTTCGACGTACTGTGCGTTCAGAGATGCTCTTCTGCCCACCTTGGTTGTAACGGGTGGTTATTTGAGTCACTGTTGCCCTTCTATCAGCTCGAACCAGTCTGGCCATTCTCCTCTGACCTCTGGCATCAACAAGGCATTTCTGCCCACAGAACTGCCGCTCACTGGATGTTTTTTCTTTTTCGGACCATTCTCTGTAAACCCTAGAGATGGTTGTGCGTGAAAATCCCAGTAGATCAGCAGTTTCTGAAATACTCAGACCAGCCCTTCTGGCACCAACAATCATGCCACGTTCAAAGTCACTCAGATCACCTTTCTTCCCCATACTGATGCTCGGTTTGAACTGCAGGAGATTCTCTTGACCATGTCTACATGCCTAAATGCACTGAGTTGCCGCCATGTGATTGGCTGCTTAGAAATTAAGTGGTAACGACCAGTTGGACAGGTGTACCTAATAAAGTGGCCGGTGAGTGTAGTTTTTACGGTTTTCTAGGGAAGAGTTTGTCTCTCCAGTCACCTAGGCGTCTTCTTTAAAAAAAAAGATCATTGCTCAACTCAATAATGTATATATTAGGTAGAAGCATATATTCATTCAAAAATAAATGTGGTCTTCAGGGATTTATCTGGTAAATATAGATGTTGTGCTCATTTATTTTCTGGCGGGATGATTTTGATCAGTATAGATTGAGTTTTGGTGCCTATCAGTTTTCAGTTCACATGGCCCCTGCCTGACCACCCCAGGAACATTTTCTGGAACCACCACTGGTCGGGAGCCATGCTAACTTGGCCACCTCTGGAACTCCATTTGCCACCCCTCGGCCACCTCTGTTAAAATTTCCTAGAACCGCCACTGCTGACATAGCAGCAGGATTTTATTTTTTTTTTAATAATCTAAGAAAGGTACATTACTGTAAATACGTTTTCTCCAATATGTTAGCAGCTGTTTCCCACAGCAGGAGGTTTGGTGACAGCAGAGACACTGCTACAAGTCAGATATTGATGGTGAACATTTCACACAACTTTATGTCCTGGACTATCCCTTTAACGCTGCAAAAAACTAAATCTAGGTTAATCATTTTTTCTAAAAATTAGTGCATTTGTTTCTTGAATTAAGCAAGTAAGTGAGACACTTTGCAAAAGAAACAACATAAAAAAAACAACAACTGCAGTCTCTTTCTTCCAAATGCATATTATCTAATTATCTTGTTTTATGAGTAAAGATGCTCATTCCATTGGCCGATCATCTTATGTGTCTACTGAAATTAAGTATAAATACACTTATTTTAAGAAATGTTTACTCATTTTCAGAACATTTTTGCAGTGAAGTCTCTGACAGCTGCAAACCTTTTCCTGACTGTGGCTTTTCTCAGCATCAGCATGATGAATATTATGTGGGCAGGACTTACGATATCTTATGTTGGAGTCATTTTTTTGTGTCTTTTCTCACAAACTTATTCATTAAATCAACGATTTTCAACCACTGATTAAGTACTGATTATTCTGTGCAAAAATGTAAGATTTGCTGTGAGAAATTGCCCAATGTTAGCCTTTAGACAATTTAAAATGAATTAATCTTTGTCAGCTTTAACACAGATGGGCAGAGTAATGTTATACTCTTTCTTGTCACTGGGTGGGAGCATGCTTGCATATTAAAAAGAAGATTCAGTGCTTCATGATGGAGCAATGGATGGACTTTAGACCCAGTTCTAACTAAATGAAGGCAAAGACTCATGGCAATTATTCAGAATGCAGCGGGGAAATTCTGTTGTGCTTGATGTGCGACGAAAAGCAATTATTAAGAGTCGTGGTACCAAGTATGCTTAAGCTCACTCCTCTGGCTCCAAGTGCATTTTCACATTCTCATTTTTGTTTTTAAGTGTTTTAACGACCAATGCTCCACCATTTCTCTCTGAGCTGTTTCATCCCTACTCAATTTCTAAGGTTTAAAGGAATCTCAGACGGGGAAGGGCCTTTTCTGCCTCTGCACATAAGAGAGGCTCCTTCAATGCCTACCTTTAAAACTCAGCTTCAAACATACTTTTATTCTTTGGTTTTACTACTGGAGAGCCTTAGGGTTCCAAGGGTTCAAAGGTACACTATATCAATGCTTATGGTTAAAACATGCACTTGGTTAAGGATTAGAAAGGGTCTTTAAAGATGTTTTCTGGGGGTGATTTGGAAATTG